ATTTATCAAAGTCAATCCACACCGCTTCCTGCAGCCCTCGCCGCACCAACAGGGCACTACAGCTGTGCTCATGCACGGCCAACAGGGCATACTCCCCACCCAACCTAACCTCAAAAGCTACACACACAAAGCCGAAGAGGGCTGGTAGGACTCAACTCGCATTCTATTTTCTGTGCGAAATTGATGATATCATCGAAATACGGACAGTTGGCCATCGTTAATCCCGTAGCATCCCGATCCCATCCAGCGTAGGTCGCCCCTTTCACCTGATAAGAAGGTTAGCCCATCACACTCCCCAAGAAGAGAGCAAGCATCCACCTCTATGAAATCAGCCTTCATCAAATCGATCAACTTGGCGTAGCCAAATATGTCCTCATCATTAACATCCTTCAGTAACGTCAATCTCGCCACTTTCCTTTGACTATCCCCCTTCTCAGCCGCTGCCTCCAATGACGCCAACAGCCTCTCCCAATAGTCTTTGAAAAGAGGCCGGTCCACCTGACGGCCAAAAAACCAATTCCATCCTCCACATAAAATCGCAATTATTTCAACTCCATGTCGAAACCCAATGATTGAAATCAACAAACTCAGTATTTTCTTCGACGATCGATTTCACTTTCTGAGGGACTACCAAAACTAAGGCAGCCGTCTCGGTTGAATGCTCCCCGTCACCTTCTTCAGCTTCTCACTATTCGGTGCATCAATAGAAATATACAGTTGAGTCACTTGAGGGAGACTGCCCAGCTCCTCAGGGTGTTGTCCATTAGTAACTACCATCATCATACACCGTCACGCCCCACGAAATGATACCCAAAAACGTCGACATACTGTACGGAGGGCTGTGCATAACTCGGAGAAAATCGGCCATTCTCGGGTACATCACTGGTTCGCCCACCAACGACAGCGCCACATGTCTGCATACTTCGACAATATCCCCAGAAAACCATTCTTCGAGACTACCGCGGTTTGAGAGCTTCCGAGAAACTGTCTGTGTCCACCTGAGCGCCCTTCAGAGGCTTCACGACTTTCGATACGTGCTTCTCCAACATCTGATCTACTAACCATTTGGGGTCGTCCGCCTGAACAGAGATAACACCAGTGTTGGTGACCATGGGAATTCTCGTAGATTTT